CCGAGACAGTCGAACCGAACGGTTCTGACGGTTTTCATAAACCGTTCCATCCCTAATAAGCATAGATCTGGAACAAATGTGCCATTTTAGACCGTTTGGACCAAATCGTTGTTCTTTAGTAGACAAGAAAATTAGGTTCCCTGGAATGACTTTGAAATTGACTGTGAATAGAGCTGCTTAGGAACTTAGGAAGATGCAGGTTTACAATCCTGCATCTGGAGATGAAGTTGTTACCATCTATTGAAAAAAGAAAGCATTTGAAATGTCCATTATATTCATCAATCCATGCTCTCTCTTTGAAACATCTTGGTATCTGTTGATCCTTAGATGAAATCTAGTTTCTCTTCAGTTTGATCACTTCACACTTTCTGTGACATTAAAGCTATGCTGTGATTGATTAACAGTCTATAATTTTTTTTTTTTTCTAGACATACTCTGGCCTCTTCTGTGTGGTCATTAATCCCTACAAAAACCTGCCCATCTACTCTGAGAACATCATAGAGATGTATCGAGGCAAAAAGAGGCACGAAATGCCGCCTCATATTTACGCCATCTCGGAGTCTGCATACAGATGCATGCTACAAGGTAAGTCCCGAGTTTCTATCTCCCTCCTCCAGGCTTACAGGGATCCATGCATGTTAAATGTCACTGAATGTCAAGGTTGTTTTCAAAGGTTTCCTTCCTGCAATTCTTCAAATGTAAAGATTATTTTCCATCAACATATTTTCAGTAAAATGATTGATTTGGTTTGAAGTTTTTCTTTCTTGCCCAAATATAGTAACCCCTCCCTTCTGCCATCTTCCGGCAGGAGGGAGGGGTTACTATATTTGGGTAAGCCTAGCGCCATTCTCCCCGCTTTACAAGCAAAATCAATGAGAACTACTAGACCAGAGGTCGGCAACCCAAACTGCTCAAAGAGCCATATTGGATGAAAAAAAACAAAAAATAAATCTGTCTAGAGCTGCTAAAATGTTAAAGTCTTATACATGCCTCGTATGGAAACACCGGCTCTAAGTGTTTTATCCCACTATAGAAAAGGACTTTGTGGGCTTAAATATATAATAAGCATTCATGATTAAATCTTTACCCTCGAGCAAATGTCACATAGCAGAATGAGGTGAGGAAAGAGCAGTGAATGCTCCCATCGCGCGCCGCTTCACCGCACGGTTTAAGTTTTGTTGCATTGATGAAATTATAGAAACAGCATCAAGGAATCTCTCAATGTTGGACGTGTTTCTGTTGGGAGGAGTTGATTGAGTCATGAGGAACCAAGCAGGAACTGACATCCATCAGAGCAGAGCTCTCTAACCCTGAAATCCCCCATCCCAACGTTCCTTGGTGTGATTAATATTTTTAGGATTTGGGAAAAAAAAGTTAGAAAGTTCCCATCCCTTCATCAGAGCTCTACCTGTTCAATCTGTGGACGGTTTTCCATCCTTGCAACAAAACTAGCAGCTGTAGTGGAGTTTGGAGATGCAATCTACTTCTTAAATCTACATTTGCTCTCCTCTAATTTATCCAGAA